TTTGTGAGTTGTTGTGACCAAATACAAAGCTTTGTTTTGGTAGAAGTACAAGAGCAAAAGTAAGTCACCCGACCCGAATCTAGAGCCGGCATGGCCTGTAGTCTTGGAGAGAGTGAACAGGCTCAAATCTTCATCAACTGGTTTTGTAATAGGTGAGAAATAAGGCCAGTAATACGCGTAATCATGAATTGTTTTGACGTTGGGACCATCAACAACCGCTGTTTTCAGCTTCCCGTCTGGATTATTCGGAGATGTCACAATCTCTATAACTTGTGTGACATTGTTATAACGCTTGCTCTTCTTCCACGCAAACGCATCTCCTTCGAACTTGACATGTGCTGAACCAAAGAACTCGGCTTGGTCCTTGTACATCTACACGCACACAGACTCATTAGATTTACCGATTGTTTCAAACAAACATTTGAGACCTTAAACTATTTAGAAGAACTCAAAGGGCCAGGTCGCTTACATTGTAGTATGGAACAGAAGTCAAAAGCCTTGAAGTAGATGTGGAAGAAGACAAGGCATGAACAGAAGCTGCAATCAACTTTGTGGCTCCATTTCCAAAGATTACAAATCTATCACATCAGTAACTGCATTCCCTACTACACTATGCAGATTCCTAATGACCTTCTCGAGCTCTTCCGATACAAATGCCCCATCTTGATAAACATAACTCATCCTGTGCCATCCTGACTCAACAACAGCACTTTTCTCTTCGTTTTGCATCCAAAAAGGCTCCAAAAACAAAGGGTCTCCTCTTCAAAATACCCCAAAAAAAAAAAAAACAGATTTATAATCCAAAGTTGGTTTTTTTGTCATTATGATCAAGTTAAAAGGAAAGTGATTACATACGAATCAGCATCTATAGGACAATCTTGGAGAAGAAAAGAACAATCTTTGCCTGTGTAGCAATTGTTGCACTCACAAGGAGGTTTATTGCCGTCAAGGACACCAAGACCGTCCACGTAAGCTCGGCCGTGGCCTGAGCATGAAACAGAGGCTGCATCCTCTGCTTCTGCGGCTGCTCTGCTAGTCCAAGTCGGATTCCATGTGGTTAAATTATTATAGAGAATATGAATGGTGA